TGCTGCCTGTCTGTCAGGAAGCTGGTGATCCACTGACAGATGGAGGTGGGCACGGAGAGCTGTGTGAGTTTGTCTGAGAGAAGGTCAGGCATGATGATATTGAAGGCCGAACTGAAGTCCACAAATAGGATCATTGCGTAATTCCCAGGTCTGTCGAGGTGTTGCTGGATGTAATGCAGTCCCATGTTGACTGCATCATCCACAGACCTGTTTGCACTGTAGGCAAGCTGAAGAGGATCCAGCAAGGGTCCAGTGATGTCCTTCAGGTATGCCAGGACCAGTGTGTGAAGTGCAGATCAGAGCGGGTGCTGGGTGTCAGCCTGGCCTTTTCAAATCGACAGTAAAACACATTCAGATCGTCAGCCAGTTGTTGATTCTCCACAGACTGTGGGGGTGGTGTCTTGTACAAGGTGATGTTCTTCAGACCAGTCCATACTGACGCCGGATAGTTGGCTGAAAACTGTTTTCAGAGTAGTTTTTTTTTAGCCACTGATCTCCTTTGTTAGTCTGTTCCTGGCCTGGTTATACAAGATTTCATCCCCATTTCTGTAAGCATCCTCTTTGGCATGACGAAGCTGTTTGAGTTTACCAGTAAACCACAGTTTATCATTATTGAATGATGCACATATCCTCACAGAAACTGATATATGAAGTTACAGTCTCTGTGAGCTCGTCCAGATCGGTGTGCCAGGACCAGTGTGTGAAGTGCAGATCAGAGCGGGTGCTGGGTATCAGCCTGGCCTTTTCAAATCGACAGTAAAACATATTCAGATCGTCAGCCAGTTGTTGATTCTCCACAGACTGTGGGGGTGGTGTCTTGTACAAGGTGATGTTCTTCAGACCAGTCCATACTGACGCCGGATAGTTGGCTGAAAACTGTTTTCAGAGTAGTTTTTTTTTAGCCACTGATCTCCTTTGTTAGTCTGTTCCTGGCCTGGTTATACAAGATTTCATCCCCATTTCTGTAAGCATCCTCTTTGGCATGACGAAGCTGTTTGAGTTTACCAGTAAACCACAGTTTATCATTATTGAATGATGCACATATCCTCACAGAAACTGATATATGAAGTTACAGTCTCTGTGAGCTCGTCCAGATCGGTGGCTGCAACTTCAAAAACACTCCAATCAGTGAGGTCGAAACAGTCTTTTTAAACCCCGCTCTGCTTCATTAGTCCATCTTTTAACAGGTTTAGCTGATTTCAATTTCTGTCTGAAAGTCGGTATAAGATGAACCAAACAGTGATCAGAGAGCCCCAAAGCTGCTCGTGGGACAGAGTGATATGCATCCATTATAGTGGTGTAACAGTGATCCAATAAATTACTGTCTCTGGTGGGACATGTAAGGTGCTGCTGGTATTTTGGCAGTTCACGAGAGAGATTTGATTTGTTAAAATCTCAAAGAACGATTAAAATAGAGTCTGGGTACCTTTGCTCCATTTCAGTTATTTGCACGGCCAGCTGTTGCATCGCGGCGCTCATGCACGCGTCCGGGGGAACGTACACATTCGCCAGACTGAAAGAGGAAATCTCACGTGGCGAGTAGAAAGGTTTACAGTTTATGAAGAGTGCCTCTTAAGTTAAGACAGCATACCCTTTTTAGCATTTGTTACATCTGAACACCAACTTTAATTGATGTAGAAACACAATCCACCACCTCTTGTTTTCCCCGTTAACTCCACGATGTGATCCGCCCTGAACAGCTGGTAGCCCGGTGTCCTGACCTTTTATCCTACCCGTCAGATTGTCCTACCAGGGTTTACGGCGCATGCACACATCAATATTTCGTCCTTTTTCTCTCGCTGAACAACAATATTTAATGTATCTTCATTACTGTAAGGGTAGGTTTAGGGTTGGGGTAGGTGTAGACTTTAATAAAAATATTTATTGTTGGTTTCCTATAGCTGTATCCCTTCTAGCCACAACCGCGAATATAACATAATTACTGTATTTGCATTACTGTAAGGGTAGGTTTAAGGTTGGTGTAGGTGTAGATGTTAATAAACCATAATTTTACAGGTAGCATTTTTGTTGTCGAATTGTACTACCCACTGTTTAATAGGAGGTAGCAAAATCTGACAGGGTAGCACAAATCGACAGAACAGGTGTCGCGCGTTATCCTAAATGGCTTCACTCAGCCAGGTTTCAGTGAAGCACAGTGCAGCAGAGTTTGAAAAGTCCTTGTTGGTGCGGGTGAGGAGAAGAAGTTCATCCGTTTTGTTAAGAAGGGAGTGGACATTCGCGAGATGAATGCTTGGGAGCACAGTTTGAAAGCCGCTCATGCAGAGCTTAACCGCCGGCGCATTTCTCTCTTCTGCGTCTGCACGTGTGTTTGAACAACACAGCTGTACATCCGACTAGAATGCCCAACAAAACGTCCGAATAATCAAAAAACGGAAAAATATTGTCTGGGATGTGTTGCTTAATGTTAAGGAGTTCGTCTCTGGTAAAACTTATAGAAGAAGAATGATAAAACACAGAAAAAACTAACAAAAACGTAAGAAGAATAGCGGATCTCAGCGCCGTGGCTGCCATTTGCGGCACCATCTTGTTTTTAAAACAAGCTTCATGCATATTTTCTATTAGCACAAATTAACTCCATCTGTTAAAGCCATAATCTTCTCCCCAGAGCTTTTAACCTCATCCAACTATTTAATCTTACTTTAAACTCATTAACAGTTACTATACATTTCCCTTAATACATGCTGCTCGATGGGGTCTAGAAGTTAAAGATGTGGGCTGGTAACTGAAAAGCTGGAATGTTTGAACCCTGAAAGTTTGGTCCATGAACGATCAGCACTGCATTAACCTGTGCTTCATCCAAGGATACTAAGTTTTCTGTAAGTCACTTGGATAAACTCTTCTGTTAAATAATGACTTTACTGTAAACAATCAAGATGCTTTAATGCTGCACAAACTGTATGTACAGTGGGTTTTCTGACACTGCATTGCATTAGTTAAAAATTTAAATCAAGTGGCTGTATTTGCATCTCAAATGCTGCAGGATCTTTACTGATTTTTTTTATCTTTTATAACGTTTGCTTTTATGAATCTGCTGGTGTTTTGGTCATTAGTGGATGTACTGTGTGAAGTGGGGTTGTTATAGTAAACCAAACTAAAACAATTAAAAGATGTTACTTTAAATATATTGCCATGGCAATTTTTCTTTCTTTAGTTTAACTTGATGTACTAAAATAACTAAAACCGATACAAATGAATCAAAACAATACAGACATAATTAAAAAAATATAAACAAAGAAATTAAAATTACAAATGCGCAATAAAATTACAAAAACTTTAACGACAATTAAAATGAAAACAGAAAATATAAAAACAAAAACCAATTGAAAATATTTATAAAAAATATAATAGTAGGTACTAATAGTATAATAGTAATATCTAAATGATATTAAAATAACACTACTTGAAATAAATGTTGACAAATAAATTATAAAAAGTGAATGTACTGTAAGAAGCAGGTTCTTATAGTTAACATAAACTAAAACCAAAACCATAAAAAACATTTTTGTTACTTTAAATAAAATAAACTGAAATAAAATAAATTTGATTTCAGCTAGTTGCTAAAGCAAAATGTCTCACTTTAATTAAATTTTTAATTTGATGCACTAAAATAACATAAAAAAACTAATACAAATTACAAGAATAAACAACAAAATTACTAAAACTACAATAAACTACACTACCTTAACTACAATTAAAATGAAAACAGAAATAAAAACCAATTGTAAATAATTATAAAAACTATAATAGTATCTCATCAAAATAACACTACTTGAAATAAATGTTAACTGAAATAAAATGTAAAAAACTTAAACTTTTATTTAATTTCAGTTAGTTGCCAAATACATTTCTCATTTTAGCTTAGTTTAATGTGACGCACAAAAATAACTACAAATAAAACAAACAAAAAAACCCGACTAAAAATGATCAAATGCACAACAAAATTACTAACATTTTTCTTAACTTAAATTAAAAAGGGAAAATATGAAAATAAAACCTGATTCAAAATATTAATAAAAACTATAATAGTATAGTAATACTATAGATTAAAAGTGTAGATAGATTTATATTTAGTAGTGCTATAGATATAGATTTAGTAGATTTGGTGATACTAAAACAGCACTGGTAGTGAAGTCAGTTCTCCTCGAGTTTACACACAGTTCTTTAACTCTTGTTATTTCCTTCAGGCTATGAAGGCGAGAACTGTGACCTTGATGTGGATGAGTGTGAAACGCAGCCGTGCGACAACGACGGCAAATGCTTCCAGCGATCCGACTCCAGACACTACAGACTTCTGCCTGATCTGGACATGGACTTCAGCTATGAGAGCGCAGCCGGATTCCTGTGCCACTGCCGCGCTGGATTCACAGGTCAGATACTGTTTCTGGATTACACAAGCTTCAGTCTGGATCCAGCCCTTACAAAGATCTAATTTTACTGTACATTTCTGCCGTATGGACATCAACTTGAGATAAGCTATTACTACATATAATGTAGAAACTTTCATTTTCTGTAAAGCTGCTTTGTAACGAATGTTGTTGAATTGAATCATCAACATCATCTTCTCAAAGAGCTGCTAGTAACCGGAGATTCTCTGTTTCGCAGGCGACAATTGTTCAGTTAACGTGAACGAATGCGAGTCCGCGCCGTGTGAAAACGGAGGCAGCTGTGAAGATCTCATCAATGCGTTTGGGTGCTCGTGTCCTGCGGGGTTCACAGGTGTGTGAGTGTGCTCCGTATATCACTTTACTTCACATCATTCAAAATAATGCACATATATCAATGTCTGAATGCGCATCGTAATGTAGGCGCACGTCGGAAAACATGCCTCTATTTACATTTTTGCAAAACTCCACAAACTGTTGTTTTAGTATGATTAATATACTATTATAGTTTCTATTTTCATATTTAGTTTCATTTTAATTTTGGTTAAAGTTTTAGTTGAAACTAAAACTAAAACCATAAAAAAGTGTTCTATTCAAAGTTTTTGTATCATTAAGATACTATTGTAGTTTTATAAACATTTTTATTTTTATTTTTTATTTTCATGTTTTCCATTTTAATTTTAATTATAGTTTTAGTAATTTTTCTGAAACTAAAACCAAAACAATCAAAAAGCATTTTCCTTACTTGAAAGTTTAGCATCATTGAGATACTACTATAGTTTTTATTAATATTTTAAATCAGTTTTTTCATATTTTCCATTTTCATTTTAGTTAGATATTTTAGTTTAGTTTTTTAATCTGTCTATATTGTTTTTTTCCATTTGTAGTTATTTTAGTACATCTAAACTAAATTAAAATGAGAAGTGTTGCCTTGGCAATAGCTGAAATGTAAAAAAAGTTTGAGATACTATTATATCTCAAAGTTTTAATTAATGTTTTAAATGAGATTTTTCATATTTTTTTATTTTCATTTTTAATTTAGGTAGAGTTATTTATTATTTAAAGTAATTTCGTTGTGTTTTTGTTATTTTTTGTATTTTTTGTCTATATTGTTTTTCACTTTTCTTTTATTTTGACAATATCTGAAATAATAATATCTTATACAAAGCTCCTAAATCCTGAAAGAAAATGAGCATTTTCACACCATAGGAGTTTATTTTGATCTATTAGTAAACTAAGGCCTGTGATTAACTTTATTATCTGAAGTTCTGAAGCACAGACTCCAATTTTTTTATCTTCAAGATTGCTTCATCCAGTCAGAGTAGATCAAACATGTTTGATATTTTGAGCCGATTTTAGAACACATATTGTTTATATTTGTCATGTGTCTCTTAGCAACCAGTCCCATATTTAGCTAGTTTGTTGCGTTCGGAACAACATGAAAGTCTGATAGTGTGTGATCCTCAGTCGTTTAGTGAACTGCATGCAGTGCTGGTAGTAACGGATTAAGTGTAATCTGGATAATCTGGACATAAAAAATTCTCATAATCTGATTACAGTTTTTTTTATTTTTTTTATTGCATGATTACGTAATATTCACAAAATGGCAGTAAATTATTCATAATTAAATGATTCACCCTAATTCTTCTTTTTATGCATTTAAAATTTTCCATTTAAAAGTTTTGTTTAAATTTGAAGTTTTTAACCCGTTAACTGCCACCGTCCCACCTGTGGGACGTTTGGCGCTCTTTTTTGTTGTCTTTTTTCTCTATCAAATCTTTTATCAATCATCATAAATCATATATCATTTGAAAGCTTAGAAGCCCAAGATTCATCTTGAGAAAACCATTTCGAAATCAGACATTGCGTTACCATGGAAATGGTACTTTAAAATCTTTTGGCGGTCTCCTCCCCCTTAGTGGGCGGTGCCAAGTGTCATATTACTTAAATCAAAACTTTTTATAATCTTGACAAAAAACATATAATTGGAAAGGTCTGAGTCTTAGGATTCCATATTTGGTGGTTATTTTGAGAATAATATATATATATTTTGAGTCACAATATTGACAGAGAAATCTAGACGTTTGTGACAGAAAAAATGCATTAAAAAAATTCAATGGAGTTTGGATGGCACCCGGTGGCTATTTGTGGTATAACGCCCTAAATAAAATCATATCAACTTCAAATTTGGAACATAACTTATTTAGACATAAGGCTATAATTTTATACCAATTTTAGAGTAAAACCTGATATGTAAAATATTTATTATATATGAAATAAAATTAATATAGTGCATTTTCTTTACAGTAAATTTAAACTACTATAACTTTTTGATACTTAAATATTTTGAGAAAATTCCACTTTTGCGATAATTTGCTGATTTTCTTCTTTAAAAAGAGACCTTATGTCTGTATTCCAAAGTGTTCATAAATTACAACAATTTAAGTTTGGATAGTGCACCTGCATGCCTATTTTAAAAATGGGGGTGACAGTCAAAGGGTTAAATTTCCCATTGCTTATATATGTAAGGAAAATCTTCCAGCTTTATGGAATTGCCTACTGGCCACTAGTCAGGTGACTATAATTACATGGAAAAAAGAGAATAAAAAGATTTTAGTATTTTTTTTTTTTTTTGGTTTTATTTAAAAATTATTTATTTATTTTAATGTAACATTTCTAAAAGTTAATTAATTATTAGCCTTCAAATTCATCAATTTTCATCAATTTCCCCCTGCAGTTCCTCACAAACCCCAGTCTGGGAAACCATGACATAATGTAATGTTTAATGCACTTGATTTGAATGATGACAAAGAATAAAATCAATTTTATTTCCCTTTGTATTTTTACAAAGTTTACAAAATTAAAAACATTTATCAGAATACAAGACTTCTTATTTTATGTCATTTTGCATCTCAAGTGAATGTATCTTGTTTTTAGTTATTTGTATTGGACAGTGTTATTTCAGTATCATTGATATAATATTATAGTTTTTATTCATATTTTAACCTTTTTTTGTCTTATGGTTAATGTTTAGTAATATTGTTGTGTTTTTTTATTAGTGTTTTCTAAATTCCTATATAATTTTTACTTTAAGTTTAGAATGTAATTTTTACTATTATTTTAGAACATCAAGTTAAACTAAATGAAAATGAGAAATGTTGCCTTGGCATCTAGCTGAAATATAATTTTTTTTTAATTTCAGTTAATGTTTATTTCATTTCAAGCAATGAAAATGCTTTTTTTATGGTTTTAGTTAACTATAGTTATACTAAAGTTACTAAACTCATCATCAAGACTTCTTATTTTATGTCATTTTGCATCTCAAGTGAATGTATCTTGTTTTAAGAATTTAGTTATTTGTATTGGACAGTGTTATTTCAGTATAATATTATAGTTTTTATTCATATTTTAACCTTTTTTGTCTTATGGTTAATGTTTAGTAATATTGTTGTGTTTTTTTATTAGTGTTTTCTAAATTCTTATATAATTTTTACTTTAAGTTTAGAATGTAATTTTTACTATTATTGTCTTGCTTTCTAAAAAAAAAGAATCAATGTTTATGCATAAAACAAGAAAATACATCTGACAGTGGGGTCAGAAAAATAGACTTGTTTTCCATTTAAATTTGAATTTTTCTTGTTTTAAGAAAATTGATCAATTCTAGTAAATCAGAAAACTAGACTTCGTATTTTATGCCATTTTGTATCTCAAATAAATGTATCTTGATTTAAAATATTTGTACTGGATAGTGTTATTTTAATGTCACTGAGATATAAAGTTTTTTTATTAATATGTTGATTTCTATTTCTATATTTTGTTTTAATTTTAAATTTTAAATTTTTTAATTGTTTGTTTTTGTCATTTTTTAAAAATATGTCTATTTAGTTTTGTTTAATTAAAGTTTTCATTTGTAGTTTTAGTTTACTCATTTTTTGTTATTTTTTAAATTAAACTTCAGCTAAATGAAAAATGTTGAGCTGGCAACTAGCTGAAATAAAAAAATAAGGTTTTAGTTTTTTATATTTTATGTTAATATTTATTTTATTTCAAATAATGAAGATATTTTTTTATAGTTTTAGTTTTAGTTAACAATACATTTTTAATTTTTTATTTCTGTTTGAGTTGTTTTAGTACATCAAGTTAAACTAAATGAAAATGAGAAATGTTGCAACAATTTTTCAATATTTAATTTTATTTGTATGGTGGCTGAGAGAGCTCAACGCACTGCAACTTCAGAAAACACATGCAAATAGAAAAAGCACCAGCAAATCCAGAAAACATCTTCATCAGTTTGACAGAACATGTGCTGCAAATACTCGCAATACAACCAAGTACAGAAATGCGCAAGTAGCACAAAATTACCCTAAAAAAAAGAAAAATAACAAGGTTATTTTTTTTTTTGGCTTATTGATTACCATTTGTATAACCACAGTTGTACAAATACCATGGTTAAAACTATGGTTAGTGTAGTAAATCCATGGTTAATTTGTGCATGGTTACAGTAACCATTTTTTTGTATAATAAATGTATTAATTAATTAATTAATTAATTAATTTTAATAGTAGGCTATGGTTAATTTTCGTAAGGTAAATTGTAAAAGTAAGTTAGCCAGCTTACATAACCTTTCACAGTTACAGTAATTGTGTATTTCGTCAGCTTATTTAGGCTAATAATATCCACACAAAAGAGCTAATGAATATGATCAGGGTGTTAAAATAAACGAAAATCTCACCTTTCAGAGTAGACAGTGCATGTCCCAGCCATGTTTGTCACTTTGCGGTTCCCTTAAACATTTTCGATGTGGTCTGTGTTGTTTTTGTCATTTTTTAAAAATATGTCTATTTAGTTTTGTTTAATTAAAGTTTTCATTTGTAGTTTTAGTTTACTCATTTTTTGTTATTTTTTAAATTAAACTTCAGCTAAATGAAAAATGTTGAGCTGGCAACTAGCTGAAATAAAAAAATAAGGTTTTAGTTTTTTATATTTTATGTTAATATTTATTTTATTTCAAATAATGAAGATATTTTTTTATAGTTTTAGTTTTAGTTAACAATACATTTTTAATTTTTTATTTCTGTTTGAGTTGTTTTAGTACATCAAGTTAAACTAAATGAAAATGAGAAATGTTGCAACAATTTTTCAATATTTAATTTTATTTGTATGGTGGCTGAGAGAGCTCAACGCACTGCAACTTCAGAAAACACATGCAAATAGAAAAAGCACCAGCAAATCCAGAAAACATCTTCATCAGTTTGACAGAACATGTGCTGCAAATACTCGCAATACAACCAAGTACAGAAATGCGCAAGTAGCACAAAATTACCCTAAAAAAAAGAAAAATAACAAGGTTATTTTTTTTTTGGCTTATTGATTACCATTTGTATAACCACAGTTGTACAAATACCATGGTTAAAACTATGGTTAGTGTAGTAAATCCATGGTTAATTTGTGCATGGTTACAGTAACCATTTTTTTGTATAATAAATGTATTAATTAATTAATTAATTAATTAATTTTAATAGTAGGCTATGGTTAATTTTCGTAAGGTAAATTGTAAAAGTAAGTTAGCCAGCTTACATAACCTTTCACAGTTACAGTAATTGTGTATTTCGTCAGCTTATTTAGGCTAATAATATCCACACAAAAGAGCTAATGAATATGATCAGGGTGTTAAAATAAACGAAAATCTCACCTTTCAGAGTAGACAGTGCATGTCCCAGCCATGTTTGTCACTTTGCGGTTCCCTTAAACATTTTCGATGTGGTCTGTGACTATTTGCAGCGTGTTTCTGCTTTTGCAGCGATTTTCTTTATTTGTTTGTGTTGTGAGCATTTGCTCACAACAAATGCTTTATTTGTTTGTGTTGTCAAATTAATGAAGATGTTTTTTCTATTTGCAGCGCGTTGAGCTCTCTCGGCCACCGTATATTTCAGTTAGTGGGCATTTTATTTTAAGTAACAAAAACTTTTTTTCTCCTGTTTCTCTCTTTTCTGCACACACATGTCTGCTCTAGACTTGTATTGCTCTGGTTTACTCTTGATTTTTAGTATTGTTGCACTGCTAACATTGTTGGTTTCAGTATAAACTCTTGTTTTTTCCCCCTCATGTGGATTATAAAAGCCTCAGCTAAATGATTAATGTAATGTAACAGTAGCACAGCTTTTTGCATTCTGCATAGCATGTGCTGGAATGAAGTCCATTTATATTTTCATAGCACTTTTTGTTACACTCATCGTTTCAAGGCAGCCTATCAGTTAATTTAGCTTCATGTTTAATATTGCCAAGGAATACAAAATATATGGCAAACAACCACAAGCTTCTACAGTTTGCACTGGTGAAAACTGATAGCTTGCAGGAACGGTTGCACAATAGCAGACTGTGTGTTTGATACCTGCTGTCATCCGCAGTGATGGACTGTCTTGCTCAGCTGCATGTGCACATGTAGTGCATACATTTCTGTTTTGTTTAGTTTGGGCATATTTACTAGTGCAGTGTTATTATTCAGCAGTAGTTAACAGTCGTCCCACAGACTAAACAAACAGCAGTTAAGTTGCAACCATATGCTGACATGCCCATCCCGTTAGCAGGATTACATTACTGATTAAAGACAAGGGATTAAAGTAAATGCAATTAAAAGTCCGTTAATTTCATTTAGTTCACTGTTCTGTAAGTCATTGGCTCTGATGTATAAAGGTTGTTACAGTAACTTCATAGGTAGATTTTTATGACTTTCTGCTTAAGATCTATATCTTTATATATATATATATATATATATATATATATATATATATATATATATACTTAGTCTAAAATATAAATTAGGCTAAAATATAGTCTAAAGATATCAAATAATTTTAAATGCAAAATGTAGATGTCTTGCTACTAAATAAACAAGTTGTGAATAAAATATTGAAATTTGA